ATGTAACTCCAGTTCCAGGGGATCTGACAGCCTCTTCTGTCCTCCATGGGCACTGCAACATGGGCATTGCACGACATACATGCAAGCAATACATGTATACACATAAAATAATAAATAAAATATTTTTAAAAAGAATAATGAATAATTCCATCCTTGGCAATGAAACAGGTAGTTTCCATTTCCTGGGTCTTTTTTTTAATTATTTTTATTTTATGTGTATGTGTATATTGCCTGCATATAGGTAAGTTCACCCATGTCATGCAATGCCTACAGAGGTCAGAAGAGGCTGTTGGATCCCCTGGGACTGGAGTGACTGACAGTTGTTAGCTGCCATGTGGGTGCTGGGATTCAAACCTGGGTCTTCTGCAAGAATAACAGTGTTCTTAACTGCTGAGCTATCTCTCCACCCCACCCCCCCTTTTTTTTGGAAACAGGTCTTACTATGTAGCCCAGACTGGCCGTGAACTCTTTAGATCCTCCTGTTTCGGCCTCCTAAATACCGGCATTATAGGCATGTACCACCAACAGTGACTAAAAAAAAAAAATCACTTAGGACATTTTCTTCATAGGATTAAATGCATTAAAGTTCTGCGTTGTTTTTTGTTTTGTTTTGTCTTTAGAGTCAGATTCTCATGTAGCTCAGTCTCAATCTTGCAGCCAAGGTTGGCCTCAAACATCTCATCCTCCTGCCTCTACCTCCCAGATTACCAGCATGTACAACCATGCCTAACTTAAATTTTCAGTTCGTTTTTCTAAGTGAAGTAGAAATTTCTTTGAAACTTAAACATATACTTTACTTGAATCACTGGTATTTGCATTTGAAAAGAAGAACTATGCAATAATGCATCAGTATAGACAGCAATCAGAGCATTGTTGGGACCACCAGCAACAGCAAGCCCTAGTGTTCGTTGGGGGTTGCCTGCTCAACTCCAATTTCAGATTGTCATTTTCAGATTTTAGGGACTATTACAGATTCCCAGAGTCTTCTCCTTATAGGAGACATTTATTTTATATGATTTTACTGAACATACAGTTTACTGCAAGTGTGTGAGTGTGAGTGTGTGTGTGTGTGTGTGTGTGTGTGTGTGTGTGGTGTGTGTGATGATGGTGGTGTTTTTTGATGGTGGTGATTGTCTTGTTTGTTTTGTCTTTTTGAGACAGTCGCCCTGTAGCCCCAACTGGCCTAGAACTTACTCTGTAGACCAGCTATGCCCAGTCTCACAGAAATCCAGCTGCCTCTGCCTCCCAAGTATTGGGGTTAAAGGCATGTGCTACCACTCCTAGCTAAGTTTCATTTTGTTTGTTTAATATTTTATTTGTTATTTTTATTTTACATGTATGAGTGTAACACATATATGCATGTGCATAGGTGCACCTGTGTCGTGCAGTGCCCGTGAAGGTCAGAATAGGGCATCAGATCCTCTGGAACTGGAATTATGGACTGTTGTTATCTGGCATGTGGGTGCTAGGGATTGAACCTGGGTCCTCTGCAAAATCAGCCAGTGCTCTTAACCACTGAGCCATCTCTTCAGCCCCAAGTTTGGTTTTCTTAAAGGACTTTACTAATTAGGGGGTAGCACAGCAGGTCATTTTGGTTACCTTTGGCTTCCTGTTCTTTTTTTATCACATTTCTTCATTAACTGTTAGAAACTGGGAATAAATAAGACTGATCCAAGCACACTGACAGAAGAGGAAATGAGGAAGTTTGCCCGGCTCAACATTGACCCCTCCACCATCACGTGGCAGAGAGGTAGGTACTGCAGAGAAAACACAGGGAACTGAGAGCCAGGCTGGGAGATGTGTTTGAGCCAAAGCTCTTAGGTTCATTTCTTAAATGCACGCTTTTTTAAAAAAATATTTTATTTGTTATTTTTATTTTATGTGTATGAGTGTATTGCTTGCCTGTAGGCAGGTTCACCTGTGTTGTACAATGCCTGAGGAGGTCAGAAGAGAACATCAGATCCCCTGGAACTGGAGTTACAGATGGTCATCAGCCATCATGTGGGTCCTGGGAATCAGACCTGAGTCCTCTGCTAAAGCAGTCAGTCCTCTTAACCACTAAGCCATCTCTCCAGCCCCTTAAATGCACAGCCTTAATGCACCCACGTGGGCTTCATGATCTCACCCTCTGTTTCCATTACTGTTATTTCACATCCTCTCTCTCAGTGCAGTCCATACCCTCTCTAATCTCCCAAATGTCAGAGGAAGAAGCATTGGTGAAATTGGTGGTGAAATACTTGCTTAATATGTGTGTGGCTCTGGGCACTGTCACCAGCACTACAGAAACAAAACAAAAATCTCCAAATGTCTAAGGGAATTTAATTTACTTACCCTAAGGGCCACAGAAATATTGGGTAGCCTGGCCCTTCCTGGATTATTGTTCTCAGATATGTCCCCCATTCTTTCCACTTCTATCCTCATTCAGAAGATATTTAACAATGCCTGATTTATAACAGTTATCTTTGATATGTTCTCCTGTTTCCATTTCCACCCCCTAGATCGGGAGGTTCGTATAACAGAGATAAAGGCCTGTTGCTTACCCAGTCAGCAGCTCAGGGGCTCCCATCCTGGGTGACAGAATCACCATAACCCAGCTTGGCCTTGGGGGCTGCTGGAGCCTGACTTCTGTCTGCTATCCACCAGGAGCCTGCTTCATCCTCTTGCTAGCCTTTGCTGGGCTATGGCCATTCCTTATCCCCACCCGTCTCTGTTTCTAGATAGATCTTCCTCCCAGATCCAGCCCAGTCTCCCAGCTTCATGAGCTGTCCTCCTAGGAGCCCATTCAGCCAAGCCAGAAGAATTGAGTATCTTCCCACAAGACTGTGGGACCAAGAGACAAAAATCAGACATGGAGTCTTAGCCTTGCCACATCCGCGCTGCAAGACAAACCACTGCTCACTTCCTTATCTGTACAAAGCAGCCCTTATCTGAAATGCCTGGGAACAGCAGTGTTCCAGGTTTCGGAAATTTGGGGATTTGGGCAGATTCACGTACAACTTAGTGAGATATCTTGGAAATGAGAGCCAAGTCTAAACACAAAGCTCATTTCTTTACACCTTAGACACATAGCCTGAAGGGTATTTTATAGAATATTTTAAGTAATTTTATGCATGAAGCTGTTTCAGGCTGTGAAGTTTTCCACTTACAGTATCATGTTAATACCAAGTTTTGGATCTTGGATGTCAAACCTGTAGAAATACCAGCCTACTCGTGGGAAGTCACCACTGAAATGTCAACATGCTTCCTAAACTCAGACGCACCACCCAAAAGATCCTTAGCCAGTAACAGTATGTCATTTTCCTGCGGTCTTTGTCTCCTAGACTAAGTTAAAGTCTCCTTAAACATTCTTAAGGGTCTATTTAGAGATTGAACCTACAGCCTTTACCATGCAAGACACATACTTGACCTCCAAGCTGCATTCCCAGCTCTATGGTAGTCATTTTAAATGACCCTAAAATATTCCTTTGTTGGTGAGCCACAGCTTATATATGCCTCTGTTCCAAAATAGACCAACAAACAGGATTTTAAACAAGCGACATGAATATCGTCACCATTTTACAGGGGTACTTTGTTTTGTTTTTCCCTAGAGGTTTTTTTAACCAGGATTTTTTTAATCCATTATTAAAATGCTATTATGTCCAAAATGTGTAGTCTGTCTTTTCAAGGCATTTCTGGGTTTGTGTTACTCCTTGAAACTTTTTTGAAGGCCTATTGGTAAAAGAAAAATTACAATGGAAATTAGTATATTTTAAACCATACATGTGGAAATTTCTGAAAGAAATTTTCAGACCAGCTGACATGCTTGCACATCTGTGCTTGGACTCCAGACTCAGAAATCAGGGCCATCTCACCTCTTAGCTAGAAGACCAGCATGCAATTGGATTCTCTCTGAGAAGACAAGAAGGACTGAAATGTTCTGTGGTTACAAATCAATTTTAATGGAAGTGACAACTTAAAAAAATTATCCCAGAAAAATACAGAATTACATTACTGTTCAGGGTGCTAAAGGGAAGAAAATTTTATTGCTAAGGACAAGCCACCTGGACCAGAGGAATTTGGGCTGAAATTTGATAAGTGGTTTGGTTCTGTTTGCCATGAGTTAGTATAAGAATAGAGACTCTTCATAGATGAACTGAGTCCTGGTAGGACGTAGAATAAATATAACCTTGTGTGATAAGATTAGAGCTTATGATAATAGAGTATTCCAGAAATACTTTTCAGAAGCATGAGAAAAAGAGTATATCTAGCCACATATCACCTCTAAAGGATTGGAAACTAGGTTTTATATACTTGTGTACCCCAAAGTCCCTGCCTCTTAGAAAGCCCAGCTCCTAAGGAACTCCTGGATTTGCCATCTCCCTCACATCCATCCCCCAGCCACAGACCAAGAGCTCACCTGCCCTAGTCATTGTCAGTGCCTTGATATGATGTCACTGCCCCAGTGACACTGGTGAATGAGAACCTTGTGTTCTGTAGAAGCCTGCCCTATGGCACATGTACCTGCAGTCCCAGCTCAGGCTGGTATTGGTTATTTAAAGTATCAATGTATTTACTGATCTCTTGTTAATCACAGCTTATTTTTCAGCCCCAGCTGACCACAGATTGTTAATTCATATAACATAAACATATCACATAAACAGATTTGATAGAGTTTTTGAGGGACTCTCAAATTTGCCCCTAAAATTTCATGAGCCAAGCCACAATTGTCTGTATTTCTCTCAACATTATCTTCCAAGTTCCCACAACAGCTCATTAAGCTCTGAGTGAGCACACAATGGCTTTTCCAGTCCAAAGTTCCAAAGCTTCCACAATCCCTCCCCTAAGATAATATGGTCAGGTCCATAAAAGCAACAACCACTTCTGGCACCAATTTTTGTCCTACTTTGATTTTTCTGTTCCTGCGATAAAACACTAACCAAAACCAACTTAAGGAGGAAAGGGTTTATTTGGCTTACAATTCATAGTCCATCATCAAAGAAAGCCAAGGCAGGAACTCAAGCCAGGCTGGAAGAAGGAACTGAAGCAGAGACCATGGAGGAATGTTGCTTGCTTACCCTGGCTTGCCCAGCTACCAACTCAGGCCCACCTGCTTAGGGATGCACTGCCCCTAGTAGGCTAGGCCCTCCTGTATCAACCAGCAATCAAGAAAATGTCTCACAGACATGGCCATAGGTCAGTCCAATGGAGGAAGGTCCTCAGTTGAAGTTCCTTCTTCCCAGGTGACTCTAGTTTGTGTCACGTTGACAAAAATGAATCAGCACGATTGGGCATGCTGTGGATGTTCCCTAGACACAGCACACAGTGCTGTAGCACTAAAGACACTGCCTGGAGCAAGGATAGAATAAACCAATCCACCCCTAAGCCCCACTCCCTCCTTTCTATGCAGGTGCTCTGGTGCTCTCTACAGGAAGTCCCGGGAAGTGCCAGATGTCAGAGATTGGTCTCTTGTGTAATTTGTGTCTGTGTACAGCCAGCACATGACTGAACACAGAAAAGGTCCCCAGTACTGGCTCCAAGAGGATTTAGCCTGTAGCTTTTTCCACCTTTAGCTTATCACTTTGATGTCAGCAGTGTTATTACTGCTTTCTTAGGGCTTTGGCCCCATCCATGTCTTGTGGGTTAGAATTGAACCTATACATTTCTTCTAGTATATCACTGAAACTGAATTCACATAGCTCCTTCCCTGTATGTCAGGATCCTGGAGGTTGCAAGGTACCCTGCTCTACTGAGACATAGTGAAAGGCACAGTGGCCTCTAGACGATGCTATACGGTTTGAGGTTTCAGGGGGTTGGTTTTTTGGTTTGTGGTTTTTATTTTGCAGGGGGTGGGTTGGTCTCACTGTGTAGCCCTAGCTAGCCTGGAACTCACCATGTAGACCAGGCTGGCCTTGAATTTAGAGATCTGCCTGCTTCTGCCTCCCAAATGCTGGGATTAAAGGTGTGCTTCACAACACCTGGCAACACTGTATATAGTTTAATCAAAATTTCTTTGTCTTCTCAATCCTAAACTAAAAGCAACTGAATGATCATTCTTGACTTTAAATAAATTTAATAAAGAGATTACCTCAGTCTAGTGCCAAGAGTATAGTATATACACTATACATCAGAAAAGAGATGATTCTGACTGTGTGGCGTTTCCTCGGACTCTGTGCTTTGAGTCTTGGGAATAAAAGCAGTAGTAGCTGATGGTACTACTGAGAGGTAGTCCTTTGATCTTGTAGACTAGGTATGCTTAAATCTTAAAACATTGTGGAGGTTTATGTGTATTTGGCTATGAGAGTATTAGTGCACCTGAGTGTACACATGTGTGAGAGAGGGCAGCTGAGTTGGAACAAAGATAGCCAAGGCAAGAGGCCCAAAGTGCTTTGTGTGTCATTAGGAAGATGAACTGTCTCTATCCCACAGATGCTCCCGGTCCCCAAATACATTATCTCTGTTACTGTTTACACCTTGACATAGTATGCATTTAGTAAATTAGGTCTCAGTTGTGACTGTGAACAGCTTGCTATGTGAAGTCACAGGGATGAGTAAAGTTGTCCTTTTGCCTTTGTTTCCTGGTGTTATGAATTTGCTTTTTCCTAAGCCAAATCTAGTTTTCACAGACACAATTTAAGCCAGTATGATTCACACAATCCTAATTCTCTAACCACAGTTAAGGTCCTCCTACACTACAGTAATTCCTTTGGCTTTTTATTGTGGTAAAATACACATGACCTAATAGTTATCATTTTAGCCATCTATAACTATACAACTGATGACATTTAATACATCCACAATTGCACTGTCATTGTTGCCTATACCCCAATCCTTATCACCCCATTAAGTAGTGACTGCCCCGTGCTGTTGGTCACTGCTGTTCTATTTTCTGTCTCTGTGGAATCACCTGCTTTAGTATCTCTTATAAGTGGAATCATTTAGTGTTTGTTCTTCTGTGTCTGTCTTTATGCATAATATTTCCAATGTTCATGGAGCATATATCAAAACACTGATTTTTATGGCTGTGTAATATTACATTGTGTATATGTGAAATACCACAGTGTCAGTCATTCATCTGTTGGTCAATACTTTGGTTGCAGATTCAACCTTTTGGCCATAGTGAATGTAGCTGATGTAAACACAGGTGTAGACATACCTGTTCAAGTTTCTGCCTTTAATTTTTTTGGCTACATACTGGTAGAATTATTGGGTCTTTTGCCTGTTATATGTCTAACTGTATGAGAAACTGGACTAACTTCTTGTGACTTAGGTATCAGTGTAAGATATACATCCAGAAATACTTGTACTTGCTTCCTAGATCAAAAGAGTGTCCTACCCCAGTCCCCCATCACCTGACACTCTGTATCATCAACACAACTAGACCATAGTTTCCATCACCCAACACTGTCAGGATACAACTAGACCATAGCTTCTTGCTTATTTGATTCCTCAAGGGAAGCTAGATCTAGACTCTTGTTTTCTGCTCCTTCCTCAGCATCTCCCAGCTTGGACAGCCCATATTTGTTAATCGAATACCTTACCTGTTCTCTTTCAGTACTGGATACCAACGACCGATTTCTAAGAAAAATAACTATCGGACAAGGAAACACAGAGAAAGGATATTCCCGGCAGGTAGGTGGCGCCATCTTCCCGGAAGTGTCTCTGTCCTTCCTCACTTGGTTTCCAGTCTTTACTTTTTCTCTTCCTACTGTCCCAGGGTGGGTTTCTAGTCCTTCTGCAGATCTGGGGGCAGAGAGCATCAGCATCCATCTGGGAGCAATGATGTGAGGAGGCAAGAAGGCTCCAGTGCCCTTACTGTACCCGTGCTGCATGTTTTCAGTTGTGTTTCTGGGAAGAGGCATTCAGGATGTCCTTTCCATATAAAATTCTTGCATATTTTATGGGAAAGCCCTGTAATACATCTGTATAACAACAAGAAAGTGAAATTCTCAAATACATTACTCCAGTTTCATAAACCAAAGGGCAAACACCTAGTTATTATGTTTAATAGCATAGAGAATTTTTCAAAGGATAATGGCTTATTACCCCAAAACAGATAATGTGGGGGAAAAAATTATGAGCTCTGCCTTCCATTTAACGGGTCTCTGGTATAAGTTAGTCACACTTAGGGAATATAAATTCATTTCATAATTTTTTAGCCAGGCACAATAGCCCTCTGATTTTTTTTATAGTAAACTATTTTTTGGATGGTTTTAAATTTATGGACTTTACATTAAATTTTTATTGGTGAAAAAAGTTACTCTTACGATAATAGTCACTTCTCATACCAAATGGACTTTTAGAGCTTTTGATATGTTTTGAATTAAAAAGTGAATGTAGGGAGATGGCTCAATGGGTAAAACACTTGCTGCACTGGGCCAGAGTTCAGATTCCCAGCATCCTCATTAACACTGGGTGGGCGTGGCGACCTGCCTGTAATACCAGCACTTGGGAGGTGGAGATGGGACACTTAGAGCCAGCCACCTACCTAGTGTAGCTGAATGACTGAGCTCTCAGCTAAAAGGACAGACCCTCCCTCAATATATAAAGTGGCAAGTGGTCAAGGAAGATACCCCACACCAATCTCTGTCTTCCATGTGTGCATGAATACCACACACATGTAAAACATGCATACATATGCCCAAAAAGAAGTGAATGCAGGAATTTGGATAAAGAAAACACTGAACCGTGTATCTCCCTTCCTGTCCCAAACTTGCACACACAGATTTCACACAGCCAGCATTACCCATGCTCCAAAACCACCATCACTACTGCAGCATTTGGGAAAGGAATTGGATTGATGGGGAGGACAGCCCTGAATATATGGAGGGAATGTTCGAGGGGTTCTAAATTCAGTGGTAAGAGGAATCCAAACTTTCAGACCAAGAGACACCAACCACCCTTCAGTGTTAGTGATTGGGGATGACCCCTGGTCACTGGTGGATGGGGACTTTCCTGTGGTATTGATAACCTGGTCACAGCTTGTACACGTATGCAGCTCAGCCTGGAGGCCTGAGTGGGGTCCTGAGTTTAGGGTCTATGTCACTGGCCAACCCCAGGAAGCTTTTCACCTCTCAGTCACAGACGGTGCCTGTCATGCTGCTGACCTGGCAGGTGTCAGGGAAGTGTGCCATTTAGAGAAAACGACCATCTTGTGACCCTTTTAAGAGAACACAGCCTGTCGTCATTTGCCCAGGGAGCACTGAGGCAGTAGTGTGGTGCTGGGAGTGGCTCCAGTGTAGGAGCCAGTCAGCAGCTTCTCTTGCTCCTGGCTTCTTGGCACACAGGCTAGAAACTGTATGTCTGATGTTGTGCCCACAGACCTGTGAGAGAGAGCCTCAAAGCCAGCAACTACTAGCACATGTTTAAAGAAATATACAGCATGAAGATTGATGGGTTCTAGTGAGAGAAGCTCGTGTATCCAAGAATACAAAATAGGAAACGGATAAGCAGATTCTGAGAGGAGTGTGATCAGAATTCTCAAGTTGCTCAAGGGGGGATTCACTGTGGCATCAGGAACAATGTTAAGGGGCTGGAGAGATGACGGCTCAGTGGTTCAAATGCTTCCTTCACTCCCAGCATCCACATTAGGTGGCTCATAACCATCTGTTAACTCCAACTCTAGAGAATCTGATGCTGGCTTCTGGACTCTACAGGCACCTGCATTGACGTGCACAAACACACACACGCACACACCATACTCAAAATCTTAAAAAAAAAAAAAAATACTGTGTTCTTGTACATATAAAAACCTAGATGAATGGCTTAAATACTGTAGAGAGAGACTTCTAAACCACAGAGCTATTCGGGTTTTCTTTGTTTTTTTGTTTTTGTTTTTGTTTTTTTGGTGGGGGGGGGCTTTTTTTGAGACAAAATTCCACGCAGCTGGCCTGGAATTCACTATGTAGGCCAGACTGGCCTGGAACTCACAGATATCCACCTGCCTCTGCCTCCCAAGTGCTGGGACTAAAGGCATGCACTACCATGCCTGGAACACATAGTCCCCAGAGGAAAGCAATAGAAAACATGAAACAAAATTTAAGACAAGGCCAGGCATGGTACTGTACACCTTTAATGCCTGCACATGGGAGGCAGGTAGATCTCTATGAGTTCAAGGCCAGCCTGATCTACATAGTCAGGCCAGCTTGGGCTGCATAATGAGACCCTGTCTCCAACTCTGACTCACCCCCCCTAAAAAAAAAAGTTTGAGGCAGAAAGCACATATTTTGAAGTCCCGAAGGACCTGGGTTTAATCCCCAACAATACCTCCCCCACCTCCCCCCCCCCAAAAAATACAAAGCCCAGTGTGGTAGTACATGCCTATAATCCTAGGAGGATTGTAAGTTTGAGACCAGCCGGAGTTACACAAGGAGATCCTATCTCAAAAAAGACCAAATGGTCTGGGGAGATGACTCTGTTGGTAAAGTGCTTGCTGCACAAATATGAGGACCTGAGTTCAAATCCCATAGGGAAAGCCAGGCAAAGAGGCATGAGCCTACAATCCCAGCACTGGGGAGGCTGAGACAAGGATCCTTGGAGCTTGCTGGCCAGCTAGTCTAGGCAACTCGATGAGCTCTAGATTCATTCTCAAAAAACAAGTTAGTGAACGGCTGAGGAAAATACCTGATGACCTCTGGCCTCCACACAAAAGATGAAAGCCACGTTCTACTAGGTGTCTAATAAGCTTTGCAGAGCAAAGCACCTTGGAACAGAGGGAGTTAGTCTTGGCCTGAGGAAAACCCAATTTCAGTGTTAAAAGAAAAGTTCAGAGCAGCAGGGGTGGGAAAAGACCTCCGCCCAGAGACAGCAGCTGAAATTTCAGAACACGAAGGAATAAAGAAAAAATCCCTAAGCACTGCCAAAGAGAAAAGGTCTTGATTAGTCACAAAGGAATATGAATTCCATCAACAACAGCAAATGCCAGGTGGCCTTGGGGAAACTCATTCAGCATTCTGAAGGAGAGTAATGTTGGAACCCAGAATCCTTTAGCACAAAGAAAAAAACAACAGCGCTAACATAAAACATGTTAGAGTGAAAGAGAACCTTAAGAAAATAGGAAGTAATCCTCCTGGAACGAGGCAGCCATTAACAGTTACCATAGAGATGAACTGTTACTGACAAAATGCAGAAACTGTGAAGAAGAGAGTAGATCATTTTGATATACTTAAAATCTTCATGCCAGAAACATTAAGACGAGGAACCGCCTGGGAACAAGGACATTCAGAAAGTAATATTCAAATGTAGCTCTACTTTAAGGCCTCCCAGGCCACCTTATTTAACACTGCAAAGTACTGTCCCGGAACTCCCTCTGGTCTCCCTGCTGGGCAGTATCCTTTACCCATCATTCCTGAAAGGGGAGCTTCACAAGGGGGAGGGGTTTGCCTTTTGTACTTGCTGTTGTAGTCTCTGTACTTCAAGCTGAGGTTTGTTATGATCATTAGTACTAAGCATTCAGTAGATATTTGTTGGACAAATCAATAGAACAAATAAATGACAGTTGACAGGTAGAGAAATAAAATACCAATAGGAAAGAGCTATCTATAGGGGCTGGAGAGATGGCTCAGCAGTTAAGAGCACTGGCTGCTCTTACAGAGGACCCAGGTTCGGTTCCTAGCACCCACATGGCAGCTAACAGCCATCCCTAACCCCAGATCCAGGGGATCTGATGCCCTCTTCTGGCCTTTCTACAGGTATTGCACATAACTTGGTGTACTTATATATATGCAGGCAAAACACTCATACACATAAAATAAAAAATAATATATTTTTAAAAAACCATCTTCAAAGCTATAAATTAGCAGAATAATATAAAGTGTGGTGGTGCATGCCTGTAATCCCAGCACTCAGGAGGCGGGGCAAGAGGAGCCTTACAAGTTTGAGGCCAGCCTAGTATACCTGGTGACTTCCACTTACAGTACGTGGACAAATAACTTATTTCATGTTACTTTAGGCATATTTTTAAGTAATTAGTTATTTTGGAGCATTGGTTGCTTGTTTTAGCCTTAAGACTCTGTACAGCATTATCTTACCTTAATAGGTTTTAATGACTGCATAAGCTTGTCTTATACCACAATCAACTCAACCAATTTCCTATTAATGCACATTCAGAGTATTTACTGTGGTCAACTATCCTAAACAGACTGTGGTATTAAACATGTGTACGGGATATACCTGTCTGATGTCATCTTTGGAATAGATTTCCAAAGGTATAATTGTGGAGTCAAAGAGTATGCACATTTCACGTATTTTTGCATTACTTTCCAGAAAAGGTAAGTCCACTCAGACCTAGCAGCATTGTACATTGTCCCTGTTTAAATGTGTGATGATCCAAAAACCAATTCAAACCTCATTTGTCCCTTCATATGATTTTGAATTTCATTTGTTACACAAAGTATGGGCCTTCTTCTACCAAGCACAGTTAGTAAAAATAATCCTTAAATTGCCTCAGTTTGTTAAATAATCTTTAAGTTGCCTCAGTTTGTGTCTTTTTTAAACGATATTACTCAAGACGCAAATTAGTTTCT